ATTCCAGTAGAGAGGTGGAAGAAACTCATTGATGGTCACAGGAAGCCATTGAGTTCAGTGATTTTTTCCAAGGGGTGTGCGACCAAATATTACATTGAGTGTGCCAATAAATGTGTCCAGTCCATTTCTGGGGTTTACGTGGGATGTGTCAGATTTGGCTTTTTGTTTCTCCACTTTTTTGCATCATACCAATACAAACAAAAGAAGGAGAAACATGAGAATGCTGAGACATTTGTCAATCTTCTGGGTGAAGTGGGGCGTTATCTGACAGAAATGCAGAGTGGATAAGATTTTTGGCCGTGACTGTAGGTTTTGGTGCTGGGTGGGTATAGTTTGTCATCTTCACCGATGACCTTGTGCTGGCACTGCCTACATTCCATTGGAAAATTGACGTTGGCATAGAAGGTCATGGCACATTCGATCCTCAACAACACAATGGTCCCAACAACAGCCATTCCCTTTTATCACCTAGACCCCATATGCAAACTCCTGATTGGCAAGGAAAGGTCTGGAAGAAAATATTTCCCTGTGTTGGTGGTGTCGCTGGAAGGTAAAAATTTCCCTTTGTTGGTGGTGTCACTGGAAGGAAATGTCCCTGTGTTGGTAGTTTCACTGGAAGGTAAACATGTCCTTCTATCTATGGTGTCACTGGAAGGAAAAATATCCCTGCATCAGTGGTGTTACTGGAAGGTAAAATGTCTCTGTGTCCATGGTGTCACTGGAAAGAAAATGCCCTTGTGATGGTGTTGTCACTGGAAGGAAAATGTCCCTGTGTTAGTGGTGCCACTGGAAGGAAAGTGCCCTATGTTGGTGGTATTACTGGAAGGAAAAATTTCTCTGCATTGGTGGGTTCACTGGAAAGAAAAAAGACCCTGGCATTGGTAGTGTCATCATGGAAAGGAAAAAATGCCATTGCAATTATGTTAGTGGGATAAGGGAGGGTGGGGGTGGGTCCTTGGGATGGGCTCTTTTGGGTGCCGTGTGGCTGCAAGGAGGGGAGGGGAGCTAAAGGGCTGGAGATGGGGGGGGGGGGATGTAGGGTGACTATGAGAAAGAGGGGAGCTCAGGGGCTGAGTTGCTTCCACTACCCTCCATGTACTTGTAGAGCAGACCTCCTTCTTAGCATTGCACCCAACCCCCAGGAGTGAAATCTGCTTCTCCTTCCTTTTCTGTTAATGTGATGTGTCACATGATGGAGGCGGGGCTCACTCCTTGGCCTGAGAAGGAGGTGTGTTCTCAGCAGGCACCTCCCTCTCAAAACCCACAGTGGGCTGCCATTGGAGGGAGGAGAGAGGACAATCCTCCCTCCAGCAACTATGCTGCACCACTGTTCTGCACTTGGTTCTTCAGCTGCCTGAATGACAGAAGTGATAACAGTGTCACTGTCATGGCCATAGGCCCTCCCAGGAGGAGTCAGATGCTCCTCCCCCAAGCTGTGACAGGCACTGTGTTTTTTTTCATTGTTTTTTTTTTTAAGCTCAGGATATTGTTCGCTTCTGCCTACTGCGGGGGGAGCGTTCCTTTGCCATTCACAAATTAACATTGGTAGATAAGTGGTTAAAAAAAAGTTGTTAGAAGGGCTTAACCAGGGCCCTCTTAATAGCATTATGGGCCCCTGGGCAATGTAATGTACTGGGGCTCTTACCAGCCTGCCCCAATTTACACACCTACTCTCAAGTATTAATGTACACTGCTCAAAAAAATGAAAGGAAGACTTTGTAATCCGAGTCTAGCATCAAGTCGAATCAACTCCTAGGATATGGATCTGGTCAGGTAAGTAGCAGAGGGGGTTGTTAATCAGTTTCAGCTGCTTTGGTGTTCATGAAATTAACAAAGGTGCACTAGATGGGCAACAATGAGACAACCCCCAAAACAGGAATGGTTTTACAGGTGGAGGCCACTGACATTTTTTCCCACTTCATCTTTTCTGACTGTTTTTCTCTCGTTTTGCATTTGGCTAGGGTCAGTGTCACTACTGGTAGCATGAGGCCATACCTGGACCCTACAGAGGTTGCACAGGCAGTCCAACTCCTCCAGGATGGCACATCAATACGTGCCATTGCCAGAAGGTTTGCTGTGTCTCCCAGCACAGTCTCAAGAGCATGGGAGATTCCAGGAGACAGGCAGGCAGTTCCTCTAGGAGAGCTGGACAGGGCTGTAGAAGGTCCTTAACCCATCAGCAGGACCGGTATCTGCTCATTTGTGCAAGGAGGAACAGGAGGAGCCTGCCAGAGCCCTACAAAATGATTTCCAGTAGGCCACTGGTGTGAATGTCTCTGACCAAACAATCAGAAACAGACTTCATGAGGGTGGTCTGAGGGCCCGATGTCCTCTAGTGGGCCCTGTGCTCACTGCCCGGCACCATAGAGCTGGATTGGCATTTGCCATTGGACACCAGAATTGGCAGGTCCACCACTGGCACCCTGTGCTTTTCACAGATGAGAGCAGGTTCCCCCTGAGCACATGTGACAGACGTGAAAGGGTCTGGAGATGCCGTGGAGAACGTTCTGCTGCCTGTAACATGGTTCAGCATGACTGTTTGGTGGTGGGTCAGTGATGGTCTGGGGAGGCATATCCATAGAGGGACGCACAGACCTCTACAGGCTAGACAATGGCACCCTGACTGCCATTAGGTATTGGGATGAAATCCTTGGACCCATTGTCAGACCCTACGCTGGTGCAGTGGGTCCTGGGTTCCTCCTGGTGCGGTGGATCCTGGGTTCCTCCTGGTGCGGTGGGTCCTGGGTTCCTCCTGGTGCAGTGGGTCCTGGGTTCCTCTTGGTGCAGTGGTCCTGGGTTCCTCCTGGTGCAGACAATGCCCGGCCTCATGTGGGGAGAGTATGCAGGGAGTTCCTGGAGGATGAAGGAATTGATACCATTGAATGGCCCCCACACTCCCCTGACCTAAATCCAATAGAATCCCTCTGGGATGTCATGTTTCGTTCCATCCGACGCCTCCAGGTTGCACCTCAGACTGTCCAGGAGCTCAGTGATAACCTGGTCCAGATCTGGGAGGAAATCCCCCAGGACACCATCCGTTGTCTCATTAGGACCCTCCCCCGACGTTGTCAGGCATGCATACAAGCACATGGGGGCCACACAGACTACTGAGGACCATTTTGAGTTGCTGCAATGACATTTCAGCAATATGGACTCGCCTGCTGCATCATTTCTTCACTTTGATTTTTGGGGTGTCTTTGAATTCAGTCCTCTGTAGGTCGATCATTTTCAGTTTCATCAATCGATGGGGTGTCCTTACAGTCCTCACCCATCCCCCGTCCATGTCAGTATAGATGTCCCGCAGGAGATTCCTCCCCATTGAGATCTGATGTGTTTTCAAAGTCTTCCTTTCATTTGTTTGAGCCGTGTGTAAATAGTTGATAAACCGAACATATACTTATTAGTACTTTAAATAAAATCAATTTTAAACAATAAAAAAGTGTACCAAAAATCAAAACTAATCAACACAAAGGGCACAGTATGGGGGGGGGGGGCACAATACTGGGATCTAGAGGGCACAGTATGGGTGGGATCAGGAGGGCACAATACTGGGATCAGGAGGGCACAGTACAGGGGATCAGGAGGGCACACAGTACTGGGATCAGGAGGGCACAATACTGGGGGCGGCATCCTGGGATCAGGGACGGCAGGAGTACAATACTGGGATCAGGAGGGGGCACAGTACAGGGATCAGGAGGGCACAATACTGGGATCAGGAGGGAACAGTACAGGGGGGAGTCAGGAGGGCACAATACTGGGGCATCAGGAGGGGGCACAGTACAGGGGGCACAGTACTGGGGAAGGCACAGGGGAGGGCACAGTACTGGGATCAGGAGGGCACATACTGGGATCAGGAGGGCACAGTACAGGGGGGGAAAGGGAGGGCACAATACTGGGATCAGGAGGGCACAGGACAGGGGGAGTCAGGAGGGCACAGTACTGGGATCAGGAGGGCACAAGTACAGGGGAGATCAGGAGGGCACAGTACTGGGATCAGGAGGGCACAGTACAGAGGGATCAGGAGGGCACAGTACTGGGGGAGTACAGAGGTCAGGGGCAAAGTACTGGGATCAGGAGGGCACAATACTGGGATCAGGAGGGCACAGTACAGGGGAGGTCAGGAGGGCACAATACTGGGATCAGGAGGGCACAATACAGGGTGAGTCAGGATGGGACAATATTGGGATCAGAAGTGTACAGTACAGGGGGGATCAGGGGGCACAATACTGGGGTCAAGGAGGCACAATACTGAGATCAGGGGGGTACAGTACAGGGAGTTCAGGAGGGCACAGTACAGGGGGGATCAGGGGGGCACAATACTGGGATCAGGAGGGCACAGTACTGGTTCTGGGACACGGCCATCCCGGGACAGCTTAGTTAAAAATGTGACTGTCCCCGGCAAATTCGGGACAATTGGCAAGTATCATGTAATGCAAAAATATCATGGGGCCCCCAATGCACCTGGGGCCCCTGGGCAGTGTTCCCATGCATTAAGACAGTAGCCAGGGCACACCATAGAATGGTCGGCATTAGATGTCCAGTCATGAGTAGCATTCCACAGGGAAGTACACAGGTTAACGCAGAGAAATAAAAGGAATGAATGAAGGCAGGCGTGAACTTTAAGCCGTGGTCCACTCCGAATGCAGCTTTGAAATCAAATGAAGTAGCACGATTTTAAAGCCGCTGCTCCCTGCGATTTCATATGCGGCGTGCTTGACCTCTGTGTGACTTAATGCACAGATGTCTATGCGAGTCGCACATGAAATCGCCAAGAACAGTGCAGGAACCTTTTTCAAAATCGGTGCCGCTCCGCAAAAGTCGGAGTCGCACAGATTTGAATGGTTCCATAGGCCACAGATAGGGTGCGACTTGTCATGCGATTTGGAACTGTAAGAGGCGCTGATGTGAGCCAGGGCTATGCATTCAGTTAGGTAATACCAGGGATATGCGGTGCGAGTCCAGAGGCCTTATGTGACCCTTCATTCACTATATCCGCTCTCCCCGGACCCCGCATTCACTATACCCGCTCTCCCCGGACCCCGCATTCACTATATTCGCTCTCCCCGGACCCCGCATTCACTATATTCGCTCTCCCCGGACCCCGCATTCACTATATGCGCTGTCCCTGGACCCAGCATTCACTATATCCGCTCTCCCCGGACCCTGCATTCACTATATCCGCTCTCCCCGGACCCCCGCATTCACTATATCCGCTCTCCCCGGACCCTGCATTCACTATAATCCGCTCTCCCCGCATTCACTATATCCGTTCTCCCCGGACCCCGCATTCACTATATCCGCTCTCCCCGGACCCCGCATTCACTATATCTGCTCTCCACGGACCCCGCATTCATTATATCCGTTCTCCCCGGACCCCGCATTCACTATATCCGCTCTCCCCGGACCCCGCATTCACTATATCTGCTCTCCACGGACCCCGCATTCACTATATCCGCTCTCCCCGGACCCTGCATTCACTATATCCGCTCCCGCCGGACTGATGTGAGCCAGGGCTATGCATTCAGTTAGGTAATACCAGGGATTGCGGTGCGAGTCCAGAGGCCCTTATGTGACCCTGCATTCACTATATCCGCTCTCCCTGGACCCCGCATTCACTAAATCCGCTCTCCCCGGACCCCGCAGTCAGTATATCCGCTCCCCCCCGGACCCCGCATTCTCTATATCCGCTCTCCCCGGACCCGCAGTTCAGTATATCCGCTCCCCCGGACCCCGCATTCACTAAATCCGCTCTCCCCGGACTCCGCATTCACTAAATCCGCTCTCCCCCCGGACCCCCCGCATTCACTAAATCCGCTCTCCCCGGACCCCGCATTCACTATATCCGCTCCCCCCGGACCCCGCATTCTCTATATCCGCTCTCCCCGGACCCCGCATTCACTATATCCGCTCTCCCCCGGACCCCCGCATTCACTAAATCCGCTCTCCCCGGACCCCGCATTCACTAAATCCGCTCTCCCCGGACCCCGCATTCACTATATCCGCTCCCCCGGACCCCGCATTCTCTATATCCGCTCTCCCCGGACCCCGCATTCACTATATCCGCTCTCCCCGGACCCCGCATTCACTATATCCGCTCTCCCCGACCCCGCATTCATTATATCCGTTCTCCCCGGACCCCGCATTCACTATATCTGCTCTCCACGGACCCCGCATTCATTATATCCGCTCTCCCCGGACCCCGCATTCACTATATCCGCTCTCCCCGGACCCCGCATTCACTATATCCGCTCTCCCCGGACCCCGCATTCACTATATCCGCTCTCCCGGACCCCGCATTCACTATATCCGCTCTCCCCGGACCCCGCATTCACTATAAATCCGCTCTCCCCGGACCCCGCATTCACTATATCCGCTCTCCCCGGACCCCGCATTCACTATATCCGCTCTCCCCGGACCCCGCATTCACTATATCCGCTCTCCCCGGACCCGCATTCACTATATCCGCTCTCCCCGGACCCCGCATTCACTATATCCGCTCTCCCCGGACCCCGCATTCACTATATCCGCTCTCCCCGGACCCCGCATTCACTATATCCGCTCTCCCGGACCCCGCATTCACTATATCGCTCTCCCCCCGGACCCCGCATTCACTATATCCGCTCTCCCCGGACCCGCATTCACTATATCCGCTCTCCCTGGACCCCTCATTCACTATATCTGCTCTCCCCGGACCCCGCATTCACTATATCCGCTCTCCCCGGACCCCGCATTCACTATATCCGCTCTCCTCGGACCCCGCATTCACTATATCCGCTCTCCCCCGGACCCCTCATTCACTATATCTGCTCTCTCCCGGACCCCTCATTCACCATATCCGCTCTCCCCGGACCCCGCAGCACTATATCCGCTCTCCCCGGACCCCTCATTCACTATATCCGCTCTCCCCGGACCCCTCATTCACTCTATCCGCTCTCCCCGGACCCCTCATTCACTATATCCGCTCTCCCCGGACCCCTCATTCACTCTATCCGCTCTCCCCGGACCCCTCATTCACTATATCTGCTCTCCCACAGTACAGAGAACATGGAAATGCAATTATTTTAGTAAATAAAAACTGCTAAATACCTTTTCTCATCAGCAGTATATAGTAGTCTTGTGACTTCTATCAGTGTCCAGCACATGTTAAAGCTTGTAGGAGGAGTTTTCTTTCTGCTCTAGGAGGATGCAGGACCACTGACCTCTGTCTGGACAGCATTGATTGGCCCTGTGCTGACCGCATGCACTCTCCCAAGAAGAAAAAACCTCTCTAGCAATACACACCAAACTGGGCATGTGCAGACTGACTCCACATCATATGTCTTATCAGGAGACAAGAGGAGGACACTGAAAGAAGGGGAGGATCAGAGAAGACAGGATCAAACAGCCTTTTTACACAATGCAGAGGATTAACCCCTTAGGTTCCACACTGAGTATAACAAGCTTGCTTTACTGCATCTGCAGACTGATTGGGCTGTTGTGGGTCTAGTAACACTTTAAATACATATTTTGCATTTTTATACTTTTATTGGATAAGTATAAACTTGTATTATTTCTGTTTTGGGACGGGGAAGATTTTGGAAGAATTTACCGATTCCGGAGAACCAGCGGCCTAGACTCCTTCAAAGGGCAGCGGGAACCCTTGTGGTCATCCCTGGAGAAAACGTCTTCATTTTACAGCAAAATCTGGAGGCAATCCCGTCTCTGGAGGGCAAGATAAAGGTCAGAAGTCAGAAAGGATCCTATCAATGTCTGAGCCGCCGGGCTGTGCGTTCTCCTCCGACATCGCTGGCAGTGCTGCTACTGGCGGGAATTGCCTTGGATCGCTGATTTCCAGGGAAGGCCGTTCTCCTCCACCTGTCATTAAAGTGCATGTAAACCCCAACAAGCAGCTGTTTTAATGCTTCCTTGTGGTCTGTTCCTGTGACTTTAACCCTTTCGTTGTCAGAGCCGTTTTTTTTTTTTGCGTTTTTTTTTTTTGCGCACGTGTTTAACCACCTCAAGTCCGGATACTTCACCCCCCTTCCAGTCCAGATACTTCACCCCCTTCCAGTCCGGACACTTCCCCCCCTTCCAGTCCGGACACTTTCCCCCCTTCCAGTCCGGACACTTTCCCCCTTCCAGTCCGGACACTTTCCCCCCTTCCAGTCCGGACACTTTCCCCCCTTCCAGTCCGGACACTTTCCCCCCCCTTCCAGTCCGGACACTTTCTCCCCTTTCAGTCCGGACACTTTCACCCCCCCCTCCAGTCCGGACACTTTCACCCCCTTCCTGTTTGGACACTTTCACCCCCTTCCAGTCTGGACACTTTCACCCCCCTTCCTGTCTGGACACTTTCACCCCCCCTTCCAGTCCGAACACTTTCACCCCCCTTCCAGTCCAGACTTTCACCCCCTTCCAGTACAGACACTTTCACCCCCCTTCCAGTCCGGACACTTTCACCCCCCTTCCAGTCCGGACACTTTCACCCCCTTCCGGTCCGGACACTTTCCCCCCCTTCCAGTCCGGACACTTTCACCCCCTTCCAGTCCAGACACTTTCACCCCCTTCCGGTCCAGACACTTTCCCCCCCTTCCGGTCCGGACACTTTCCCCCCTTCCGGTCCGGACACTTTCCCCCCCTTCCGGTCCGGACACTTTCACCCCCTTGCGGTTGCCTTTTCCGGACAACACTTTCCCCCCTTTCCCCCCTTCCAGGTCCGGACACTTTCCCCCCCTTCCAGGTCCGGACACTTTCCCCCCCTTCCAGGTCCGGACACTTTCCCCCCCTTCCAGTCCGGACACTTTCACCCCCCTTCCAGTCCGGACCCTTTCACCCCCTTCCAGTCCGAACACTTTCACCCCCTTCCAGTCCGGACACTTTCACCCCCTTCCAGTCCGGACACTTTTCCCCCCCCCTTCCAGTCCAGGCCAATTTTCAGCTTTCAGCGCTATCACACTTTGAGTGACAATTGCGCGGTCATGCAACACTGTACCCATATGAATTTTTTTAGCATTTTTTTGAGACAGATAAAGCTTTATTTTGGTGGTATTTATTCACCACTGGGATTTTAATTTTTTTTTTGCTATGTAAATGAAAAAGTCCAAACATTTTTTAAAAAAAGTGTTTTTCTTATAAGATTTTGCAAATAAATAATATTTCATCATAAATCTTGGCCAAAATTTATTCCGTTATCTTGTTAGTAAAAAAAAAAAATAACCCAAATCGGTTTATAACCAAAAATTATAATTTTCAAATTTTTTTTTTATATTTTTTTTTATATTATTGTTTATGTTTTTTTTTTTACATACTGTCACCCTAGCAGTACAGTGTCACCATGGTGACACTGTACTACTTGTGGGGGGTGATGAAGAATGTTTTTTTTTTTTTTACACTGATTGCTTTTACACCCATAAAGGCTGTAAACGCAATCATTTCTCCTTCTCTCTGGCTGCAATTTTGCAGCCATTGGGAAATACTGTGTGAGTTGTGATTGGTCACAGCTTGTCACATGGTACAAGGCTGTTGTGAATAGCCCTGTACCATGTGATCTCTGTGATCTTTCACAGATTTCACACGTAGTAAGCAATGATGTCAGAAGTGACATATTGCTTACTACTCTTCATGTGATCACTGATTGGCCAATCAGTGATCACATGATCGGGACCTCGCACAGAGGTCCTGTACGATCATTGGTGTTCCACTGTGTCCGGAGGACACAGCGGGCACCGGATCGCGGTGCTGCGCGCGCTCCCAGGGAGTGCGCACAAGCAGCGGGCGGGGAGGCCCTTTATAAACGGCTACCTGCCCCTGCCCTGCCACCGTCCGGCCGATTATATACAATGGCTGGATGGGAGGTGGTTAAAAAAATAATTTTAGGACCAGAGATTACAAAAATCCTCCAAACATGATATATTTTTCTGAAAGCAGTCACCTAAGAGAATAAAACGGCGGTAGTTCCAATTTTTTATGTCACGCGATGTTACCGCAAAGGTCTAGGAAATGCAAAATTTCAGTTAAAAAAAACACACTAAAGTGAATTTTAGGGCAAACCAATGGAATAAATTATCCACATTTTTTTGTAATATATAAAAGACGAGGGTGCGCCGAGTAAATAGATACCCAGCATGCCAAACCTTAAATTTGTGTGCGTCTGTGAAATGGCGACAGACTTCAGTACCCTATATTTTCTATAAGCGGCGCTTCAAAAGCCCCTCTAGGTCCCAGAGACCCCCAAAAATGCATGGAGGTCACGGAGGTCTCCAGATAGGCGTGTGCCAAGTTTGGTGTGCCTGGGCCCCGTGGTTTGTATCCAGTGGTGGCCCAAGCCCCAGTACCGCCAGGCAAGCTGTCCGCACTTCACCCATACAAGTCTATGGGTGCTTCGCGGCTGAAAGGGCCGATTTTGAGGGGCCATAACTCAGCTCCCCTTGGGGCCAGCAACCCCAAATTTCGTATGCCTGCTCAGTCGATCTATCCCTACATGTTCAGTGTTACAGAGGAGGTCTGGTGCTAGAATGATTGCTCTCACTCTGGCGTGCACGGCGATATATAATGTGTATATCATATTCAATGTTTTCATGCGTAGGTGTTTACATTTGTACGTGTGCATATTTGTGGGGGTGGGGGGTGGGCTCAGATTTTTTTTTGGGAGGGGATGTTATGTGCTTGGGTGTATTTATTTATTTTTTTTGCAAGAAAAACATTTTTTTTTTAACTGTTTTTTTTCATCACATAGACCCCCTTCCGCCGCAGGTTTGGAGGCATTTACATTTGTACGTGTGTATACGTGGGGGTGGGGGGTGGGCTCAGATTTTTTTTGGGAGGGGATGTTATGTGCTTGGGTGTAATTTTTTTTTTTTTGCAAGAAAATTGTTTTTTCTTTAACTTTTTTTTTTCATCACATAGACCCCCTCCCGCCACAGGTTGGGAGGCATTTACATTTGTACGTGTGTATATGTGGGGCTGGGGGGTGGGCTCAGATTTTTTTTTGGGAGGGGATGTTATGTGCTTGGGTGTAATTTTTTTTTTTTTGCAAGAAAAACATTTTTTTCTTTAAACTGTTTTTTTTTTCATCACATAGACCCCCTCCCGCCGCAGGTTTGGAGGCATTTACATTTGTACGTGTGTATATGTGGGGGCTGGGGGGTGGGCTCAGATTTTTTTTTGGGAGGGGATGTTATGTGCTTGGGTGTAATTTTTTTTTTTTTGCAAGAAATTTTTTTTTTTTTTAAGTGTTTTTTTTTTTTATCACATAGACCCCCTCCCGCCACAGGTTTGGTGGCCCTGTTGGAATGGTGGACTGGCCCATAAATATGGGAGAGTCAGGCAGAGGATTCGGGTGGAAGATGGTTGCTGAGGAGACTTGTCGGTGCCTGGGACGGGTCCCCTAGGTCTAGGGGGGCTGCCCCCCAGGCTGGGCTCGGGATGGCTGGGGAGGATACATTCAGCAGTAAGGCATGGATGGGATCGAGACCTGGAGCAGTAGGGGAGCAAGGAGGACATTGTGAGTACAGCAGCACTCTCTGGGATCTACAAGGGGAAGGACAGCCACACGTAGCCAGCTTTCTAAGGACAGCGCTGGACTCAATCCTTCATCCTTGTCCCGGGAGAACTTCCGAGAAGCCAGGAGGACTGGTGGTGCTTGCAAGCTGTGGAGAAGGGAGCAGCTCAACAGGGGGGGAGACGATATCTCTGCATGTAGCTACAAGAGGTAAAGCTGAATTTTGAGGGGCTGCTAGTTCCTCGCCCATAAAGGGGCTGCTACCAATCCGCAACGACTGACGGCTTTCAGGAAAGGAGCAATCCAGGATCTGCCTTTGTACATAGGAGGGAAGTGTCCCCCTTACATTTATTCAAACCAAACTGGGCATCCCGTAATCCCTAGTTCCCTGTCCAAGTTGATTTCCCCTAATAAAACAACAAAAGCCCAACAACAAGCCCATGGACTGGTCATTGTCTTTGGATGCAAGTCTGTGTGAGAAATACCTGATGCCTGGCTGTGCAGAGAGAGACATAGGAATACCCACTACACAGCGGCCCTCATGAGGGTAACGCTACATTAGCAGGGAAAAGGGGGGGACTGTCTCCGCAGGAATGAAAGAGAGAGATTACAGCGTCTGTCTGACTTGAATTGTACTTTTACTCCTTCTCCTAATAGATTCTTTAAAATACCTCAGGGCGTTTTGGTAAGTGCTTGGTGAGCGAGGCGTGTCACCTTCAGGTGTGCAGAGAAATTACAAGATAACTCCTCTGGGGGTATATTTTCACTTTACTGGTTGTGCTGCACTGGTCCATGACATGTTCATAAATCATTGAAGCTATAGCTGCATATAGGATGCTGATGGGTGCCAACATGGCAGGAGTATGTACTGCCGGCTTCCCATGAACCTCCTGGCTTTTGACCATTTTAAAGGGGCAGAATGCACCAAACATTGTAAGCAGTGGGTGGGGCCAGTGAAAAGTAGGCATGGCCATACGGGTGTGGTTTGAGGATGCTCTGGCATCCAATTTGATTTTTTTGTCAAGACAAGAGCCCATCCAAGAAGGGGATTTATATGTTTTCTTAGCTACAACGATTAGTACAATTTGTTTATAGGGCGACAACCCAGCAACTCTTCCAGAGAATACGACGGCAAACACCAATCACACCTAAAACACCATTGGCTTCAAATATTTGGAAAACACCATTTGATGCGACATTTCTGCTGAATACTGTGAAACCTGTTCAGTGTACGCCCTGTATACACAGCACACCGGCCTGCTACCCACAAAATATACTGGAAAGACAAACGGATAAACCTCAGCACTCTCCTAGTACAAATCCCCCTCAGCCATAATCAGCAAAGGCCCCCTCCCTCCACACCAACAGAGACCACCTCCCCCCAGACCAACAGAGACCCCCTCCCTTCACACCAACAGAGACCCCCTCCCTCCACACTATCACAGACCCCCTCCCTCCACACTATCACAGACCCTCTCCCTCCACACCAACAGAGACCACCTCCCTCCAGACCAACAGAGACCCCCTCCCTTCACACCAACAGAGACCCCCTCCCTCCACACTATCACAGACCCCCTCCCTCCACACTATCACAGACCCCCTCCCTCCACACTATCACAGACCCTCTCCCTCCACACCAACACAGCCCCCCTCCCTCCACACCAACACAGACCCCCTCCCTCCACACCAACACAGACCCACTCCATCCACACCAACACAGACCCTCTCCATCCACACCAACACAGATTCCCTCCCTCCACACTATCACAGACCCCCTCCCTCCACACCCATACAGACCCCCTCCCTCCAGACCAACACAGACCCCCTCCCTCCACACCAACAGAGACCCCCCTCCCTCCACACCAACACAGAACCCCTCCACACCAACAGAGACCCCCTCCCTGCAGACCAACAGAGACCCCCTCTCTCCACACCAACACAGACCCCCTCCCTCCACACCAACAGAGACCCCCTCCCTCCACGCTATCACAGACCCCCTCCCTCCACACCAACACAGACCCCCTCCCTCCACACCAACACAGACCCCCTCCCTCCACACCAACACAGACCCCTCCCTCCACACTTTCACAGACCACCTTCTTCCACACCAACACAGACCCCCTCCCTCCACACCAACACAGACCCCCTCCCTCCACACCAACAGAGACCTCCTCCCTCCTCATCAATATAGATCCCCTTCCTCCACACCAGCACAGACCCACTCTCTCCACACAAACACAGACCCCCTTCCCTCCACACCAACACACAGACCCCCTCCCTCCACACCTACACAGACCCCCTCCCTCCACACCAACACAGTCCCCCTCCCTTCACACCAACACAGACCCCCTCCCTTCACACCAGCACAGACCCCCTCCCTTTACAACAGCACAGACCCCCTTCCTCCACACCAGAAATCTTCTCTTCCCATCAGAAGATGCCCCCTCCAGTACAGACCCCCTCCCTCACCACCAGTGTAGACCCCCTCCAGTACAGACCCCTTCCTGCAGTACATATCCT